AGTAGATGCCACGCAGGAGACCCTCCAAGCCGCCAGCTGAATCCCTCATTCGTATTAAATACCAGCGCAGACTCCAGTGCCGAGGATAGAGGTAGTCTTGGCTGCCAGAGTTCGGCTGCTCTATCACCGTGAAGCTGCCCGCCTCAAGCAGGTGTTGCAGCTGCTTCGTGTTGGTGGAAAGTGCATCGAAGAGGAAGGTGAGCGAGTCCGGGGATCGAAGCAGCTCCTGAATACAGTCCGATATGAGCAGCCATCGCGACAGACATCTGTGGTGCGGGAGGAGGAGGAGGAGGAAGGGGACAACGATGGTAGGACTGGTGTAGGAGGAGAGAAAAAATAAGGACGGGGGGAATAAAGGCAAAATGCAAGAAGGAGGACGTACAAAGTTCGGACCTCATCAGTCGGCGCCCAGTTCTCCTGCTCCTTCTTCGCTTTCTCATCTGCATTTTCCTCCTCCACGGGCGCAGTCGTCAAGCCCCATTTTGGCTCCAAGGAGATATTACTGATAGTCTCCCAGTCAGAGCTGTCTGATTCGTCACCATATAGTTCATTGTCAAAGTCATCGGACGTGAGATCCAAATCCACCGATGAGGGATTCAGGTAACTGGCGTCCTCATAATCATCGTCAGCCAGCTATGGAGTGGGGGCAGATATAAAAAAGAGTGAGACACAGTTTGAATGTAATATGGACCAGGTAGTACGTTTGGGGCATTGTGCAAACGCGGGCAGGATACCGACTAAAAAGAACACTATTCATTAAACATTTTGAAGTTCTCCTTGAGCTGAAAACTTCAAATGAATAAAGTTGTTGTAAAAATTAGAGGTTTCTTCTTTTCAAGCACTATTGACGACCTCATCACTCTTCAGAAGGAGGATCAGACTACAATAACCTTTTTTACGCGACAATTACGACAGTTTTATTGGTGTAAGAGGAGATGCATCCTTGACCTGTAACCTGGTACACGTGGAGCCCAAGGTACAACATTTGGAGAAGACAACATTTACTACCATAGAAGTACAAGAAAGGACACTTTTGTACACGTTTTCTAAAAAATATATTTGGATTTATAAGGGTAATGAAAATCAGTGCAAAAAATGAATCCTACTAAAGTAGCCAAATGTTACCGAAAATGCATTTTGTGGGTGATCAAAAGAAAGCTCGTTCAAAAGTCAGTATGCTGACGTGACTGAAATATCATAGTGTTAAGGTGCACAATAATCAATACTACAAGCCCATTTAAGTAATATGTTTGAATCGAAAACACGCTTCCGAATTTCAGTTGAGATTTCCTCAGTTAGGGAATCTACTTGCGTTAGCGAGAGCACAAGGGCGCAATAGTCCTCAGTCTGTTCTATTCCCAGGACAGAACAAAGTGGGCCCGTTTGGAGCCAAAGACAATACACTAAATGATAGCAAGGGGCACACCGCTCTAGTTAAAGAACAGGAATGCCTCTTTTTGCCCTGGAGCTCACTAAAGAGCCCGCGCAGCCAGCCGCATAGCGACTTGTAGAATGTGTTGAAGTGGAACCAACAATCACAAGGGAGACCGGAACGGCCATTTCTGACTTATTAGCCGTCATCAGACAGTCATTCCCAATCCCGGGTGCACGTCATCCGGAATTCGCACCCAGGGCCTCTTGTCATTAAATGCAACACTTCCACTGCACCACGGGCTCGCTGATTTCGTAGGTTAGATGAAATGTTTTCCAACGAAGATTGAGTAGATTGAGGTGAGAATTTGTTGATGTCAGCCAGTCACACCAGCCAGTCACCTAGACAAAGACGACCCGGCATCTGAAAATCAGGGTTTGCTGGCTTTCAGGCGGGGTGGGGGAGCCTTACATCGAGAGAGAGAGAGAGAGCCTCAGAAGCTAGCTATACGGGCACTTTCTGGGCACTCTAGTTTCTTGTGCATGCAAAACGTCTGTTTGGGCCCTCCCGTTGCCGTGGTCGGTGTTTACCCCGAGCGCACCAAAAGGTCGTAAAGAATAGAACGTCTCATGACAGCTAACTGGTAGGGTCCGTATTGCTCGGCTCAAGCCAAGATCGCTGTTATAGCCCAGTTAGTTCTGCGTCGCCAGTTGGTATAGTCCAATATTTCAAACCCGAATAATAGGCAGAAGAAGCCAAAAGAGCGGTTCTGATAGGCAATGGCTGTATTCAACAGTACACAAAGACTGTGTAGCGTGCAGGGTCTGCTGAGTCGTTTGGGTCATCCGTGTTTGCCGATCCCTTTAGCTTGTCCACCCCGGCGTATTTTTATGGCTCCGGTCTTTCCAGAATATTCCTAGCGTATAGGCTGCATGTAGACATTCTAGAATGATCTCGACCACGACAACGGCCCCCGCTATGTGGGTGGTCGTCTGGTTTTCTCGGCTTACGGCGTACGCGCAAGCGTGAGCGTCTGGCATGAGGGCGTGACGTACTCCGGGCGGACCGATTGTGGGCAGGACTCAGCTGTTCTGTCCTTTTAGCCGACTGCCGTGAGGGCATGGGCGATCCCGCCTCCGCAACAATCGCGGGCTCTATGGCTCGGATATATATGCGCGTATTCCAACTTGCTTGGTTTGAAAGACTAGAAACGAAAAGCATCAAGGCGTTCGTGGTTTGATATTTACACCAGTTAACTAACGTTCATCAAGCGCTAACTGAACTCACGCGTCCCACCATGCCTTGGGCTCCGAAAGCGGCGCATAGCGGCTAGTAGTCTATGCAGATAGCATTGCTGGCTCAATGGTTAGAGGTCAAAAGGTTGCGAGTTCGAGCCTCAGGTGGGGCACTAGATGGGGTTGGGTATTGCTGGCTGATAAGGGCGAATAAGCCACAAATGGTCATTCCAGTCACCCTTGCCTTTGCCGACAATGCTATGCGTTTGATGTTCAGGCAAACAATATAGTGTTTAACGCTGCAGACAATG